CCTGAAAATATGTGTGCCTCTCGTCCAAAAGCAAGGGCTGGCTGCTTCTCAAACTCTTTCTCTATCCTTCCCTCCTCTTTCTTTCTTGCTTTGCATGTGGGTTCTGTCTATTTACTTATTTGTGTCGCCTCTGAGCTACTCTGACATGCCGCTGCACCTCCAGGGTCCTTGGGTGATATGATAGGGCTTGGGGACTTTGGTTTCCTTGCCACTGCTGTGAAACACCATTCAGATGATGAAACTGCGGTGCAGCTGTGTCTGTGGCTCACGGTGGGATGCTGGTGTCTTTGTGGCTCTCTGCGAGGCTGAGGCGAATTCTCACTGATGAAAGAGCCTGCAAATGTGCCTCTTTAGCCCGGGCCCATACATCTTCTCACTGAGAAGCCATTGTGACTGTCATCTGCCTATGCATGTGTGTATGTATGTGTGTGTGTGTGTGTGTGTGTGTTTGGCTTTATACAGGCAAATAAGTCCACATTATTCGTTTATGATCTTCTTTAACTGCCGCTACACACCACTACTGTCATTAGCCAATATGCTGTTAATTCATGTGTGCAGGCATTGTAGTGCACTGGCGCCGGCAGGGCCACCCTGATACACATAATATGCTTCTATCGGATATTTTACATTAGGCACTATTGATTTAGATAAGTTAATATTTTTAATTAAAGTTTTGGTGAAAGAATATAACAATTGAATAGCCAACTGTGTGTTCTGCTGCCCCAAGATTTTTATTAGCCCCATCTGACCACCCATATGAAAAATGTCTATGGGCGCCACTGTTGGAGTGAAGAAACAGGTTAGACAGTTTGTCAAATTATGTTTCAGTGTATGTGGCACAAATGACAGACAGGTGTCAAAAAGCTTTTTTTTTTTCACAAATCTTGCCATGAAGTTTGGATACTGTGAGTCACAGAGAGACTGAAAATAACAGCAAAGATAACCTGGCAAAGCACATTTCCACAGAGTCTTCCCTGAGGTGATGCAAGACTTTAGACAAATGTCTTGTTTGTTCACCACTGAATGGCCATCTTTCAAGGGGTGGCATGCCAGCACAAACACACACACACATACTCACAGATTTGCACACAGGAGCAGATCATTTTTCTCCCTCATGGAGTAGGTAGCGAGAATATTACAAACCAAAATCATAACGCATTGCCGTAGGCCAGAGGTTGGACGAGGAGAGGAGAGACAGCTGTGTAATTGAATTACTGCCTGATAGACAAGGGAATAGATAGATAGATAGATAATTAATATAGATTAGATAGATATGATAATACGATTAGATGATAGATAGATAATAAGGATACAGATAATAGATAGATAGTAGATAAATCGATAGAAGGTTGTGGTATGTGTTTTTGTGCGTGTGTATCAGAAAGAGTGAGCAGCAAAAAGAGCCCTTAATCCTCC